AGGGCCCAACTGAGAGCCCTTTTCTTCTTGACATTTCTTCTCTAAAAAGTTGTTGTGGGGGCAGCTAGGTGGCACAGTGGATAGAACACCAGCCCTGAAGTCAGGAGGACCTGAGTTCAAATCCAGCCTCAGACCAAACACTTGACACTTACTAGTTGTGTGACCCTGGGCAAGTCACTTAACCCCAATTGCCTAAAAAAAAAATAATAATAAAAAGTTGTTGTGATACTGCTCTGTCCTGATTCTATCCGACTGCTCCTTAGTTGACTTTCTTGGATATTGCCTCAGACCATCCCCATTAACCATGGGTGGGCTGAAAAGTTATGTCCAGGACTCTCTTGTCTTCTCTCTCTAAACTTTCTCATTCATCTCATCAGTTCTCAAAAGTTCAATTATCATCTCTACAAAGATGATTCTTAGATCTATCTATCTAGTCCTATCCAGTCCTAACATCTTTCATATACTCTAGTCTCCCACTGTTTCTTGGACATCTTAAACTGGACATATCAAATTCAACAAAGCCAAAACGGAACTTATTTTATCTTTTTCCCCAAGCCTTTCCCTCTTTCAAACACCCCTATTCATCTTGCCTTGGGGCATCGATATTCTCCCGGTCACAACCTCAATGTCATCCTCAACCCTCACTCACACTTGCTCCACAGATCCAATCTGTTGCCAAGTCTTGTCACTTCTACCTTCACAAAATCTTTTGGATTTTATGCCCCCTTCTCTCTACTCACACAGCCTCTGCTCCAGAGCAGCACCTGGATTACTGTTATCTCCTTCTGGTTGGTTTCCCTAACCTAAGTCTCTCCACACTCCAATCCATCTTCCATGCAATTGACACAGAGGAAGTTCACTTTGCCTTTCTTAGGACTCCCACCACTTAACAGAGTGCTTGGCATACACTAAGAGCTTAATAAACACTTACTGACTGACTTAAATGCAACCGTTCAGGTGACAGATGAAGTAGGATGGTAGCCACATGAGTAGGAGTAGAAAGAATGAATGTCAGGATAAGTTATCAATAGGACTTGGCAATGTCCAGAGGTGAGAGAGAGGACAGAATCAAGGCTATCAAAATTGTGAATCTGGGCAAGTAGAAGAAGAGCAATACTCTCAAAAGAAAAATTGTGAAGTGATGGGTTGGAGGGAAAGGTGATGAGTTGTTTTAAACTTGTGTAGACTATGGGCTATCCATGTGAAAAAGGCTAGTAAGCAGTTGGCAATGTGTGACAAAATCAGAACAAATTTGGTCTGGATATGCAGATGTGGAAATATAGATTGAACCCTTGAAAGATGATGCAATGACCAAGAGAATGTGTAAAGAAAGAAAGCTAAGAACTGAGCTTTGGGGGAAAACCACAGTTAAGAGGGAGAAGATGAATGATGCTGCAGAAAAGAAGACTAAAAAGGAACCAGTCAGATGAACCAATAATATTAACTAATCTTATTATGGCAGAGTCAGCAGTACTCCTTTGGATGCCATTCAGCTTGTCAATTATCTTCTTAAATGTGATATCCAGAACTGAATACAACTACACACACACGTCATATGTAGGTGTGTATATATGTATATGTGTGTATATATACGTGTGTGTGTGTGTGTTGGTAACAAACAAAACTCTCACCAATATCCTGACTGGATGGTTCATATCAGGGGTGGGGAACCTGTGGCCTCAAGGTCACATATAGCCCTCTGGGTCCTCAAGTGCAGGCCTCTGACTAAATCCAAAATTCGAAGAATCCCCGCTGTGAAATCTGGATTCAGTCAAAGGGCTGCATTTGAGGACTTAGAGGGCCACATTGGCCTCAAGGCTGCAGGTTCCCGATCCCTGGAATCTATACTCTACTGTGAGGACGTTATTTGCTTCTATTTCTGCCCCTTTTATACTCACTCTAATGGCTTCTACCAAGCTTCACCTACCTGGAGTCCTTCAATATTCTCATTTGAGTATATTTTCTTACGTATAAGTACATATTTCTTTGCTATACAAAGAACTGGAAACAAAGTGAATGCTTATCAATTGGGAAATGGCTGAATAAGGTGGTACAGGAATATAATATTATTATCATGAAATAAGAAATAAATAGGAGAAAGTAAAGAAACGGGAAGATTAGTATGAACTGTCAGAGAGAAATAAACAGAAACAGAGTAGTACAAGCAATTACTAAAACAACATAAATTAAAAGATCACTAAAAGAAAACCAAATAGTGAGCAAATGAAAAAAAAAATAATAACAGTCCTAGATAATGAAACATTATTTTCTTTTCTCAAAAGAGAGGCAAGAAGACTATAAGGACAAAATGTGGTAAACATCATCAGACACAGTGTACCAAGTATTTTTTCTTAATTCCTTTTCTTTGTTATAAAAGAGGGTTCCATTTTGAGATGGGAGGGTTTTATTTCCAATTACTGTATGTAAAAACAAAAAGTATCAATAAAACTTATGTAACACATACATGTGCATTCCCCATTCCCTTTAATCAATCCTTTTCCTTTTGAATGAGGTATAACTTTGCAGAACCATACTCTTATTATGGATCCCATCCCACCCAGTCATAGTAATAAGTATAAGATCAAATTAACATCCCAATCAATCAATATGTGTTTATTTAGGGATTACTATGTGCTAGGTACTCCCTGCATTAGGATTACTAGTTCATCTCATTTATTACCTAAATTTTGTACATGTACACACACACACACACACACACACACACACACACACACACACAGAAAGCCATTGGTTTTATGGTTGGCTCTTTTCTTGGATTCTGACTTCAGAGAATATCTGGGTGTTTCTACTATTTTTCCTAGAATGATGCTGCTATTCTCTGTTATTATCTTCCATGACAGAATATAACTAAGTAGTTTTCTTCTTTCTCATTTTATCTTACGTACTCTTCTTGTGCTTTACATAGAAAGATAAAGATAAAAGTTACATGGATTTGGAACTGTCTGACCGACTAGCTCCAAAGAGTGTTGGTTAATGGACTGAAGACCAAGATTTAAGAACCAGGTCCAATATTGACTAATCTTCTAACAACAGAGACAATACTAGTATTAACCTATTTCATAGGACTGTTGTGAAGAAAGCAAAGCACTATATAATCATAAGGTGTATTAATGACGTCAACTTGGAGATCTCTCATGGAAAGTTCTAAAGGGTCTTTGTCCGTGGCCCCTTTCTGTCTTTATTAGGCCTTTACTAATCTGCTTAATCTTCAGATTCCTTTTTATATACTTATGAAACCGTGAATTGTATAACTTATTTAACTATTAATGGTAATCTTATTCCTCTTTTTTGCTTTATTACTATTTCTGAACAGTGCCCATTTCCTGAAATTGAAGTATGTTTTTCCCTTTAAAAAAAAGAATATGTGAAAGGGGATGTAAGATGTGACCTTCAGGATAAGCAAACTACTCTGTTAAAGAATGTGATTATATAAAAGGTAAGAAAAAGATACCATAAAAATGTTTTTGTCCTCAAGCTCATTAAGTGCATTACAATGTTTTAAAATGTTTAGAAATATTAAATTTCTTTGAGGTACAAAGTATAGAACGTGGTCTCCCTGGCCATCAAAGCCTTCAAAGAAGCAACTGTGCTACAATCTATAGTGTTATATCTCCTCTTATTCCCTCTACAAACCTTCTTAAGTCACACAATAGTAAGAACTTTAACCTTACTTAGAACTTGAGCTTGAATTTATGAGCTGAAATGTCTGACTGCTAATTGCACAACAAATTTTGCTATGATTATTATTGTATACCTTAGAAGTAGTACATAAATGTGAACTATTATCATTATGAAGATGGAAAAGAAAACACATTTTCTCTTCCTGAGGTGGGTAGATGTTAGGAGAGTCCTAAGACAAACGTTACTTCCTCAGAATTCTTGGCCTTTAGAAAAAGGAAGAACCATGACAAAGCACAAAAAAGTGTTGGAAAAAAAAAACTTATTTCAAGTATCTAATTATTAGTTTGTTTATTTAACAATCCCCTGGAACAATCTGTAATCTGCACTGATAAGAAATGTGCATTGTAGAAAACAGGCCTTTTTGTTGTTGTTCAATTATTAGTGCTATACTCAATGTCTGAGCTCAAACAAGCATCCCTTGGGGAAATGCTCTGCATGCCATTAGCACTATTCTTAATGAGGAAAAGCACAGAAGTCCTTTAGTTCAATGCCAGAATTGTTTTATCTTCAAGTCAAAAGAACAACTATTTGGAGTAACACCAAAACAAGCACTCAACAATCACAAGCAGCAAACTATTCGTAAGCATCATACTGTCAGTATTGTTCTAATTATAGATTTAACATTATAGCATGTAAAAATCTGTCAGCAAAAATATTAACAAAAAGTTTTAACTGGCCTATCATAAACTCTCTCATTCATATTATGAGTAAAAGGAAAGTACTAACTTTCTTAAATTCAACCTCTAGGGGACAGCAGGAGACCCTCGATTCTGTTCATCTGAGAAAAGGATGAAAATTAAGAAAAATGCTAAAGGTAGATTTTAATTCTAAGTGGGATTGAGAAGTACCTAAAATTTTAAAAAATAAAAATAAAAATAAAAACATGGTGAGTGTTAATTTTGCTAACATCTTATTTTTAAACATTCCAATGGGACAATGCTTCCTTCCAAGTTCAAAATAACATCCCTTCACATCATGAAGTGTCCTTTCTTCTCTTTTCCTCTCTTTGGTCTATTAGCTCACATGCTCATTTCTAGTTTCCTTTATTTTTATTTATTTATTTTTTTTTTGGTGAGGCAATTGGGGTTAAGTGACTTGCCCAGAGTCCAACAGCTAGTGAGTGTTATGTGTCTGAGGCCGCATCTGAACTCAGGTCCTTCTAACTCCAGGGCAGGTGCTCTATCCACTGCGCCACCTAGCTGTCCCTCTAGTTTCCTTCAATTTTATTATATATGTTCTTGTTCCTATATATCAAGAGTTTGTAACTGGTTCATGAACTAATGCCTATTTAGACTAACCTGGAGTAATAGCTCGGTGATATTGATACATATCTTCTCCCCATAGCTCTTGGGCTACTTGCTTAATCTTCTGTCTGACAGCTTCCAGTTTACTTTCTGATTCATTCATTATTTCTTCCACATCAGGAGCACTGTAATCACGAAAATGGAGTTTTTAGATTATTAGAAGGCTGAACCAGTTTTTATTACATGTGTTCCTTATCCTAGTATATATTAGTATGTCTAATAATAGCAATTCACATTTATGCAGCTATTTACAAAGCTATGAATATTAAATTTACAGTTAGAAAGTATTTTCCTCATAACCCGGTGAGGTAGTTACTTCAGGTATGATAACTGCTATTTTATGGATGGTAAACTGTGATCCAGGTGAGAGAGGGTAAGTGACTGGACCACAGTCAAACAGTTAGCAAGTGTCAGAGCCAAGGCACATCCCCAGGTCTTATAACCCCAGGTGCAAAGTTCAGTATTATAAAATTATTTGTTTAAAGGAGACATATTTGAAATAATGCAGCTATAAGAGAATGCAGGAAAGTTGGCTCTGAAGGAAAAGCTAGCTGTCCTGACCCTTCCTTTTATCACTGTTTTTTGCCTGTTATTGGAGGCAAAGTTTTTGGAAATTACACCATGAGACACAATGAATAAGAATACCACACGGGATTTTTGGGTAATATTTTTCAACTGGCAGCTGAGAGAAAATAATTAAATCAAATCCATCTATTCATGAAAAATTATACTAATTTCTGTCTCTCAATTCAAGTCAAGAATGAGAAAAGGGAACATATGAAAAAAGATGAAGTATTTTCCTTGCTTATTCTAGAAGCACCTATACTAGAATCAAAACAATATGGAAAAGATTAGCACAGTCCTTGAACAAGGATGACATATTCCATATTTTCCATGTTTTAAGTACCTCTTTAATACATGAGGTAAACAGGCAGAAACTTCTATTCCTTTTATAGACTAGGAAAACCAGGCACAGGAACATGAACTTAATCATTCAGCAAATATGGTCAATATCAAACCCTGAACAGAGTTAAGTCTGTAGAATCATCACAATACACAAAACTAGAGAGCAAATTTTCCAGAGACAAACTTATTCCTCAATATAAGCAATAATATATTTTAGAATAAAGGAGAAATCAATAAAATACCCTTTAAATATATCTAAAGGACAAAAGTTGTAAATGTTTTATTTCTTTATAAATGTTAATTAGGGAACTAAATTAATACAAAAAAAATCTTTGTGAAAGAATCTTAAGTTTGAGATCAGGCAAGTTGGGGTTTTAAGCCCAGTTCCAACATTTACTAGCTATTTTTGGTTATGTGTAAAATGTGTTGATTGATACCTGCTAATTCCTTCAAAGACGTTAGGAAAGTCCTTTGTAAATCTCAGAGTATTTCTTATTTTTGGTGTTTAAAAGATAAACACCTTTTCAACTCAGTGAGCCTATACAATAAGCCTTAAGCAGTTCATTGTAACTATACTGTCCCTCTTCAGAAGATAGTTTTCTCTCTATGAAAGAGCTTATTAGAGCACAATAAAAAATTTAGTTCATCTTTAAAATAAATATTTTTTCTTGTGAGATGTAGAAAGATTCCTTACAAAAATTTGTTTCATGAAGATTTCTTAAAGTCTTCATCATGTATCATAAGCTAGTTCTAATTCATCAATATATAAAATACTAAAGAAAATTTTTAAAATTCATATCAGCAGAGAAATCAAAGATTGACTCACCTAGTAATCCTATGGAGAAGAAAAATTGTCCTTTTACTTTCAACAGTTATATCACGACTGAGTTTCACAAGTCTCTCATACTTGTCGTGTCTAGTATCAAGTTCCTGTTGAAATACTGATAATACATACTATTATGAGCCACAAGGAGGCATATTCTGAACATATCACCTACTAAATTATAAAAATGTTTTAGAAATACAAATTAGTAGACAGTGCCTTCAAGGGCAACTATAGTTACTAGTCTTATTAATGAGACCACTAGAAAATTAAACTGTAATTAATCAGTAATTAAACTGATTATAAACATTAAACACTCAATACTATAAGAGCTTGGCAAATTCTTGACACTAGTAACATCAAACCTTTGGGCAATAGTAGTAGCAAGAGGCAAAATAATAGGAACTAATACATATTTGATCCTCTAACAACCTGTAAGATAAATGACTTAAAGTATTATCTTGGGGCAGCTAGGTGGCGCAGTGGATAGAGCACTCGCCCTGGATTCAGGAGGACCTGAGTTCAAATCCGGCCTTAGACACATAACACTTACTAGCTGTGTGACCCTGGACAACTCACTTAACCCCATTGCCTAGCCAAAAAAAAAAAAAAAAGTATTATCTTCATTTGAGAATGAAAACAATGAATTTCAGAGAGCCTTTGGAAAGCCAAGCCTTCTGAAGACAAATCTAGCGCTCCTTCCATTTAGTTTTGCACGAAAGCTGCAACATTGTCGAGGTGAACACAGTGAGCACACCTTTGTTAACAAATAATTAATATATACTGAGTACCTAGTGGGTATAGAACATCATTTGGCTGTAGGAACATCTAAAGCCAGCAACACCAAAACCTTGACCTGAGACTAAAGAGACCCAATAGATCACAATAAGAGGTCATAAGAATGATTCAATTTCTTGGACGTTTGAGTTCAAGGTTACCTTGAGCTGAAAATCAAGGTTTACAATGTTTCGTAAACCTACTGACTTGTTGCACAAAGCTGTTCAAATGACTGAACCTGTCTTTTTTTCCCCATATGAAAAGATTACAGTAATAGGTTCACAAAACAGCATTTTACTTTTTTATAAAGTGTTTTATATATAATACCACATTTAATCCTCAAAATGCTATAAGCAGGGTAGGTAAAACATCATTTTATAGATGAAGAAATTGAGGATCAAAGAATTTAAATCACTACTTCACCTGGATCTCATCAGTTCCCATGAATTTAATTATCATCTCTATAAAAATAATTTTCAAATTTACACTATCCTATCCCAACCTCTCTACTGATCTCCAATCTCACATCTTCAACTGCCTTTCGGATATCTGGAAACTGGATGTTCAGTAGGCACCTTAAATTCAACACGGCCAAAACAGAACTCATTATCTTTCCCCCTAAAGTCTTCCTCTCTTTGCAACCTTTCCTATTACTGTAGAGGGTAACATCATTTTCTCACTTCCTCAGGCTCAAAATTTAGGTGCCATCCTCAACTCCTTAATGTCTCTCACCCCACCATATCCAATTTGTTGCCAAGGCGTATTGATTTCACTTTTGCAACACCTGTTTCATAAGCTCCTTCCTCTCCTCTGACACTGCCACAACTCTAGTGCAGGTCCTCATCACCTCACAACTGGACTACTGCAATAGCCTGCTGGTGGGTCTGCCTGCCTCAAGTCTCTCCAATCCATCCTTCAATCAGCCACCAAAGTCATTTTCCTAAAGGACAGGCCTGACTGAATTACCAGCCTCACCCCCTTACCCCCACTCAATAAATTCCCCATCACCTCCCAGATCAAATACAAAATCCTTTGTTTGGCAATCGAAGACTTTCAAAACCTAGCCCTCTCCTATCTTTCCAGAATTCCTACATCCTGCAGAGAGCAGAATCTTAACAAATAAATAAATAAACTGAGTAGTCAAAGACTGAATCAAAGATGTAGAGCTGGAAGAGACCTAAAAAGACCTCCATTTCACAGAGAAAACTGAGACCAAAAGAGGTGAAATGACTTGCCCATGGACATACAGGCATTAAGTAGCACAACCTAGAATGAATGAAGGGTTAAATATACAGTTTTACTACAGGATTCCACCTTCAATTCACAATAAAAAGCATTAAAAATTAATTTAAAATGAAAACTTTTACATCAATCACACAGAAAGCGTCACCCATCTCAATCTAATGTCATGCAACAAAATCACACCCTCCAGAAACTAGAAGGAAGACTTCAGTAAGTATTCTTTTCAGAAGCATGAAGACAAGGTAATCTGGAATTACACTCCTTCAAGAGAGATAGTCGGAGGAGACCCACTACTGCCCTCCCAGTGCTCTACATGCTGTGGACGCCACAACCTAGATTTTAATAATGACCCTGGGTTGTACGTCTATCTGCAGAACTATCCAGCACTCAGGAATATTCCTGGGACCTGACTGTTTCTCTTTGTCTTTTGAGAGAGATGGTTTGGAGGACAGGGAGGGGGGAGAGAACAAAGATTAAACACATCTACAGAGAAACTGGGATTGCTGCCAATAAATCTGTTTGGAATCTGGCAGGATAAGTGATGAACTTCAAACTGAAATACTCTTTAGGATTATGAAAAGTACATCTAGGCCAGGGAGAGTCAGTGGACCTACGCCCTGAACCTGAGAAGGAAGCAAATACATCTGGGAATGGGAACGACACTGTGCAGTGTTTGAGCTTGCCTACTAATACTGTTTTGGACAAGTTCCTTAACAACTGTTTCTTAAAGTAGCTATGTACCATCTCAACAGTGATAATGCTACATACTACGTTACAGAGCAGTGGTATCAAACTTAAATGGAAATGGGAACCACTAATCCATACATAAGCAGCAACTAGGTGGCTCAGTGCTCTATCCACTGGGCCTGGAGTCAGGAAGACCCGTGTTCAAATCTAGCCTCAGACACCTGCTAGCTGCATGACCCTGGACAAATCACTTAACTTCTGTTTGCCTTAATCCACTGGAGAAGGAAATAGCAAACCACTCTAGTATCTTTGCCAAGAAAAGCCCACGGACAGTATTAGCATGCTTTGGTCCACAGGGTCATGACTGTACAACAAATCTGTATATAAAGATGCCTTTGTTCTACACACTTAGTATTAAAATGTAATTTTATCTATGTTTTATTGCATCTTTATTTTGTTAAATTTATTTGCCAATTACATTTAATCTCGTTTGGGCTGCACTCAAGTGTTGTGGGCTACATGGTGACACCTCTGCTAGAGAGGCAGAACTGACAGAACAACATTGATCCATGCAATCACTGAGGGACCCAGGATGAAGGAAATGTCTATTAAAGAAAAAGAGACAAGGGACTCTCAAAAAGTACCCATCATATAGCCATAAAGTGAGACCATATTTCTCAGACCTCCCCTCTACTTCCTGCTATCTCCACATGAACTAGCTCTTGACATGGAGGTCAGCTGAGGAGAGGGCAGAGATTGTCAGTCTGTTATAAAATTTTCTCTTAACTTTGCAAAATGTATTGACCTAAATATAGATTACACTCTTTCCTTCAAGATCCAGTTTCTCTAATAACTTGACTGTGACCTACAATAGCACCCTTCCAGATGAATGACTTTAGCCTTGCAACTCTGTAGAGCAGTAGCAATAGCAGCACCAAGTTTTCCACCAGACTGCAAACACTACAGAGAAACACTACAGAGTGTTAGATGCTCTGCAGCCAGTGCTCCAAGTTGAAGGAGGGAGATTCTTCTACTTGTACAATCTGAATTCCTACCTGCATCTCTGCCCAGAGTTCCCTTAGAGAGGTCTCACTCAAAAGTCAATTGACTCTCATCCCTCCCAAAAGTCCCTAATGATACACCCGAGCACCTGAATATGGAAAGCTTTGAATGAGGTCAGATGCAGAAAAGTAGTATCACAAATGTAAACACCTACTATTTATTTTAATGGCATGTTTTCATGAGGTTAAAGATTATAATCATTAGAATTATAGGAGTTATAGTGAAATTTTCATATTAAAGGAGATTTGAAAACTTGACTGATCAAGTTCAAATTCTTTCACATTGGTTCACCAGTGGCAGAGTGGTACAAAAACTCAGCACATGGGAGTAAGACCTGGTTCTTTGCTATCTACCTGCTAAACGACCTTGGATGAGCCATGTATTCCGAGCCTACCTTATCATCTTAAAGTGAATGACATGGCACAGTGGAGAGAGTACTGAACTAGGAGCCAGTAAGAACTGTGTTCAAATCTTTCTTTCGAACCTCTCCACCTGTATGGTCAGAAGAAAGTCAATTAATACAAGCCTCAATTTCCTCATCTGTACTATCTGTAGTACCTGCTTCACAGGGAGGTTGTGAGGCTCAAATTAAGAAAGTATATAAAGCATTCTGTAAACATTAAAGCATAAGATAACCAAAATGTACCATCTAAAAGAGAGAAACATGTGCCATTTGTAACTATTACAAATGCCAGTTATCATTTTTACCAGCATTGGTTTTAATAGCAAAGCAGAGCTCTCATTATGTATGTACAGCCAAAATCTAATCCATAAAAAATTAAGATCAACTATATAAGAGAATTACTTTCTCTTGAAAGTGAATATTTGAAATTTAATCACTGTTGCAAATGCTACAAATTTCAAAGAAGAAATTATGAGCATTATAAGCAGAGTTAATAACCTTCCAACTTTCTAGTAGTGATTTCTGAAATCCACAAACCATCTAACCCTGGTGATGAATATTTTATTTCAATAGTATTTTCAAACACAAAAGGTAGAGTAGTTTAATTAAATTCTCACTAAAATTAATGCTAAGGGAAGAATAAGTTATCTTTATTGAGAAAAATTCCCCTTTATTTCGTTATACTCATATGGCAATCCATATACATTTACTGACCATCTACTGCAAGCCAGACATAATAGTAACTAAAAGTATTGTAGTTTCCAGAGGGCAAGGACATTCTAGCAGAGTCAGTCAACAATTATTAAGTACTTGATATGTTTTAAAGTATTTCCTGGCAATCTATCTTTTCCCAACTCAAGAGGCTTGGACCTGTAAGACAAAGGTAAAATAGTTCAGATGCTCAAGGAGCTTGTGTTCTAATGGGGAAGAAAAAAAACAAACTAAAAAGAACAATACAAACAAAAGTATTTATTTTAAGTAACACTGTAAACCTACTACACAAAAACCCAAATCAGTTATTTTGGTTAGACGTGCCAAATAAATATAGCAACTTGTCTCAAAGACTAGCATATACTCAAAATTCAATGCACCAGAAAGTTAACCTCATCCAAAATGTCACCACTTCCTATGGTCATCTACGACCTCATTTCTCAATTTGTTTATCCTACTGATGTGACAACTTAACATTTACTGTGGTTTCAATGGTGGCCACCAAGGAATTTTTTGTTTGACCAATCTGTACGGAAGAGTACTTACATTTGAAGGCCACCATCACAGCAGAAGACGAATTAACATCTTTCCCTTCTCTTCTCTGACCATGTGGGAAATTGTCATGCTTTCGCTTCCTGAACCCTCCTGACCCTACGCAGAGAAGGTAAAAATTAAGAGATTGTGATGCCATTCCATCCCCAAGAGTGGACAGAAGAGACTAAGAAAGCAAACCTCCTTTCTCACTATGATCACATGTCACTCAAGCAGAGCGCCCCAAACACCAGGGCAGGTGCCTCGGCCTTGGTGGGGGATTCAGGCCAACTCAGCAGCAAGATCATAGGACCCTGCCCTCGAGGCCCACAGATCGCCTCCCTTCACCCAGGAGGGGACCCAAGAGAAGGGGAGCGAGCGAGGAGGTGGGGAAGTTGTAGTCCAACCTTGACCTCATTCCTGGCTCCCACGCCATATCCCCAGAGATGGAGGGACGGGGCATCTAAGGGAGAGGCATGGAGGGGAGGGTCTTCACGCTCTGGGTGGGCAGAGGAGGGAAAAAATTAAGCCAGGGGTTGGCCAAGGCCTCCGCCCTCCCTCAGACCCAAACACAAATACAAACACGCCTCGGCCGTGGCCTCCACCTTCTTTGTTGCTCATGTCGCCTCCCGCCGCGGGCCTGGACCGGGGGGGGGGGGGGGGGGGGGGGGGGCGCGGGGAGGGGGGGGGGGGAGGGGGCCTGCTTCCTCGTGGGAGGCGGAGGGGGAGGAGGGCGCAGAAGAAGCACGTGTACACTACTGGCTCGCGCCACACCGTAGGTCGCGAATTCGGCGCGTTCCCGGGTGTCGTGGTACGTGAGCCGACGAGGCGTGTTGGAGGAGGGGCCCGAAATCAGGCCCCCTCCAGCAGCCTACAGAGCGCAGGTGCAAAGAGAGCGCAGGCGCCAGGGGAGGCCATTCCGGTTCGGGAGACCTCCTCTCCTTCCACTTCCGATTTCCCAGCACTGCCTTTTGCTTCCGCGTGGACTTGACCCTAGATTTGTAGAATTCATGCGCAGTAGCCGCTAGTCTGAAAGACTAGGGCTACCTTCTGCCCTTTCCGACTTTTTAAACCATTAAAAAAATGAGCGCACGAGGAAGAAAGGGAAGAATTACTATGAGAAGGGGAGGAAACGAAGTTGATTTTCCCTCAGGCACTCTCGAAGCCGCACTACGGGATTTCTCTCACTGGAGCCACCCCCTGCGTGCAGCGCATTGTGGGGGTTGTAGTTCGACTATGGGAACGCTCTGCCCTCTCTGATGATGAGCATGCAGCAAGTGTGCAGTAAACGAGGCCCAAAGGTGCAAACTGGTTCAGAATGGTCCTAGGTGTTTAATATCCTGTTGTAATTCTCCCATTCTCCTCCCCCTCCCTCAATGCTTGATCCTGGGACTTTATAATCAACAAGTATCTTTTAAGTGTGCTCAGCACAGTGATAAATGGTGGGGTGGCAAAGAAAAGAATTAAAGAAAAAAAAGGCTTCTGTTCTCAGGAGCTCATGTTCTAATAAGACAGACAACATGTGCATAAATAGATGCTTACAAGGTATGTAGTGTAAAATTGAAAACTGATTTTAATTCTATTTTTAAGACTTAGTATGCTGGCATAGGTTTTCATACTCCCACACAGTGTTAAGTCCAAACTGCTTACCTTTAGTACTTCACCCTTCACCTACATTTGGGAGAAGCTTGCCTGAAGGCCAAGCTTTTGTAAATATCTCCACCCTTTAGCTGGAGGCAGCTAGGTGGCTCAGTGGATAGAGTGCTGGGCCAGAAGTCATGAAGACCTGAGTGCAAATGCGACCTCAGACACATACTAGCAGTGTAACCTTGGGCAAGTCACTTATCCCAAAGAAATGGCAAACCAGTCCAGCACAAAGTTGTCAGCCTATCTCTTCCAGCATTATTGAAGTCTAGTGGCAGGACAAAAGTCAGGATGACTAGCGATGGCCCGGTCTGACCAAGCTTTAGGTGCTCCACAGTGCCTGCTTTAGCCACCTTCATGGCCATTGGAACAAATTATTCTCATCCACCCCCTCCATGTGGTGGAAGTCTTCACATACTTGGGATAGACCCCTGACTCACCAGTGTGTTTGAGGTCTGTCAGTTACCCTCAACTTGGTTTGGCCTGTGGACTGAAAAGGTTTTACAGGGTGTGGCCACTACACATACTACAGCTTCTTGGAGTCACAGGTGAGAGTTGGGTGACAGGTGGAAACCAAAGTGGTTAAGCAGCCCTGAAAAGGGCTTCCTCACATCAGACATGTTAGTCCTCCCTGAACACCCCATATACCCTTGTTGTATGCTATACCCAAATCTGCAGACTAATCCTATCACTTGAGGATTATTCCCAATAATGGGGAGGAGCTGAGATGACTCTTAACCCATTTCCTCATTAAAATAACTACCAATCAGGATCTTCTTACATTTTGGCAGGGGAGGTCCAAATGACTAGTCAAGTCAATCAGAAGGAAGACACACCTAGGCTTAAAAGACCCTGTCGGCCTTGATTCCCATCTTTGATCATTGACAGAAGTCATTGACCAAATTTATTGATTACTGCTAGCCTAACTAATAAATTGATCATGCTGGGACCATTGTCTCTCATTTTACCTAAATTTTCAAACTTAGTAATAGAGAGTAGGTAACATTAATTAGCACCTGGGGCACTAGGAAAGACCCAAAGAAGATGGGATTTGAGCTATCCTGAAGAAAGCCAAGGAAATTAAGAACAAGAGACATCATTGTAGGCACGAGGAAAGCCAGTGCAAAGGTGTGAAGGACATGGAATGTCAAGATAGTCTTTTAAGCACAAGCATAAGAAGTATTCTGTGTTAGAATTAGAACTCAAGAAGACAGTGGAACATTTTTCTTCTGATGACTAGTGTAGAGGTTCCTGAACTCACTCTCTCCACCTGCACTAGATTGGTAGGTTGGGTCCCGAAGGATGACTGCTCGTTCTGCCCTCAGAATTCTAAAAGTAATCCTAAGAAATTGTGACTCACAAGCCAGTGTGTTTCATCTTGCCCATGTCAAATGGTCAATTAACATTAATTCATTTTTACCCAAGGATGTTTACTGATAAGTTATAGAAAGGACCAAAATATATCTTACCCCCTTTTCTACTCTTCCCCAAAAGTCCTGCCCTCTGTCTTCTGCATATCTACTCCGCTTTTGGGGAGATTAGTTTCAAAACTTGTAAGCATTGAATTATTTACAAAATAAAATGAGGACAAAGGCATAAAACTTTTCTTCCTTTTCCTTCAATTTTTAGAGCTAGGAGGAATCAAGGATTTATGTAGTTTCTTACTTTTATAAAACTTCTACATCTGTTATTTCATTTACTGCATCCTTCTGTCTCCAGGCAAAATGGTATCAAACCTAGCCTTTTAAAAAAGAGTCTGTTTTTAAAAATTTTAAGAATAGTACTTTGAGCCAAATTTTATCATGTAGGTGTATTTTTAATTGATCCCAGAGAAACTTTATACCAACTTTACTGCTTTGTTGTTATTTTATTTGTACACAGTAATAAAATATAATTCAGAGTCAATGTGTTGTAGTGAAAGTAGGTCTCAAACTCAAGGAGACCTGGGTTCAAGTCCAGCCTCACATAAATACATCACCTTGAACATTGCCCCAGGCAACTGTCTATGCTACTAAGTTACAGAAGTACTATATTGCATATCTTTATTGGTAGAGAGTTTCCTTATTGGGAGTTTTCTATATCAATGAATCTTCCCTCTCAAACCATCTCCTTCCCGCCATCCCCCACCCCCCACAAAAAAAAAGTCAATATAAAATAGTTCATTGTGTAGATAAAACTGTTTCTGTCCAGGATTCCCACTAAAATCCTCTAATGCACTATCCTGGCGTAGAAGTGATCCTGACAATCTTTCACACTCAACTCTGGCCTCCACCACCCTCACCTAAAACTGAAAATAACAAGTGAAAAGGCCAAGGATTGAGGCTTTTTTCTTGTGGCCATATCACCTCAGAGGAGAGAAATCCATAAGGTCTTTCCCTCTAAAGCATCAATTATTGGCTCAATTCAATTTCTTCCATGAAATTCCTGATATTTAGACATTCTAAAAATTACAGAATTTTCAAGGGGAAAGAGATCACCTACTTTACCTCATAAAAAGCAATTTCATAAGATATAAATTTTTCCAAAAGAACAGATTAAAAAAATATATATCATCTCACTTTAATGGACCACAGACAGACAGAGGCAGTGTGCTGCAAAATGCCCTGTACTATACCTAGAATGAGGGAAATCCAGGGTTTGCCATGTTACACCCTTAAGCACTGGATCACTACATGGATGGAAGAAGCTCCAAAGATTCCAGGAAGTTGACCAGAATTATGAATGGTAACTCTGAAACGCTCCATAGGATGGCCCCATTAGACCAATTCAACCTCATTACATTTGCATCATAGATCTAAAACCAGAACAGACCTTAGAGTTTAGTCTAGTCCCTTCCTTTTTTAGAGAAGGAAAGGGAAGTTAAGTGACTTCCTCACAGTTACCCAGGTAATGTCAGAGGTAGGATTTAAGCTTAGGTCCTCTGTTTCCAGGTTCCTCTGTGTTCTTAGCATCAAGTTACCTCCCTAATCACATTATTACTATGTGAAAATGGGCAAATCACAACCCCTCTGCATTTCAGTTTCCTCATCTGTAAAGTGGTGACAATACAGTTATCCCTTCCAGATATTGACTTTCCCTATTGAAGTTTCCACATATCAAGGGGCAGCATAAGAAATTAAATGGGAATTTTTTGGGAGTTTTGTGGAAGCCACAGATGACACACAAAAGTCAGCAGACAACACAGGAAAAGTTTAGAAACTCAAAAATGCACAAAATACTGTTTAGTATTACATAATATCAACATACTTTATCTTTTAATACCATAATAATTCAGACTTCTTCTTTGGTATGAAGGGAGGGCCAAAAGATTTTACACAGATTTTCCAGATCACAGGGGCACAGTGTCCCTAACCCCTCAATGTGGAAGGGATAACTATACCTTGTAGTACCTACCTAGCAGGATTGTGGTTTGGTTTTGTGTTTGTTTGTTTATTTGTTTTTTAATTTAAGGCTCAAATAAGACATGTATATAAAGTACTCTGAAACTTGAAGTGTTAAATGTCAGATTTTTTTTAACAGACCTATGATTTCATTCGTGTAGGGTAGTGCCTCTCCAACTTACCAGCACCCCACCCTCCCCTACCATCCTCAGGCTACTTTCCAGTTTACACTCATACTTGAAGGTTGGGTCCCCACGGGATCAGAGCCTACTCTCAGATCTATATCTTGCCACTGGACCCAGGTGGCTCCAGAAGAGAGAATGAGGCTGCTGACTTTGCATAGCCCTGCCTCACTTAAATCCAATTCGCTTACAAGTCATGGCATCACCTTCCTGATGTCATGGTCCTCTTCAAGAATGAAGGACAAACAACAACAATGGTACCTACGTGGTTCTGTATTTCTAACACTATAATTTATTAACTGCCATTTATGTGCTTTCCATTAACACTCAGTCAGTAGACACAGCCCAAAGCAAAGTATGGTAAGAACTGTAGCTGCAGTGGTATAAGTTCCATGATCAACTATGAATAACTTAGCTCTTCTCAGCAATACAATGATCTAAGACAGATTCCCAAACTTATTTGGCCTACCAGTCCCTTTTCAAAAAAAAAAAAAATTACTCAGCACTCCCTGGAAATCTACTTTCTTTTTTTCTTTTCTTTTTCTTTCTTTTTTTTTTTTTGGCTAGGCAATGGGGTTAAATGACTTGCCTAGGGTCACACAGCTAGTAAGTGTTATGTATCTGAGGCCAGATTTGAGCTCAGGTCCTCCTGAATCCAGGGCTGGTGCTCTATCCACTGAG